GTAGAGAATGCAAATACTCAATTTTATGAGATAATATCAAACTGCTTCTCAAAGTGCTTGTACTAGTTCACACTTCCACTAGCAATGAGGTCTCTCCAACATGCAGAAAATTTTCACAATTCTCTTAACTATAATAGATGAGGAAAGATTTGAATTTAGACATATTGTCTCCTAAACATTCTCTGTTTACAACTGCATTACCCACAGAGGGATATATGTTTTGTTCACAAGGCCTAAGTGTTATAGAGCAACCCCGATATTAAACGGGTTCCTGGCTGTGGGTCCTCACCCGCGCGCTTTAAAGGGACTTATGAATACTCTACTACAGACACACGCAAAAGGGTTAATAAAAGGTTTATTTACAAGAGAAAAAGAAATAAGGAAAATGTACAACTCAGGGAGAAAATAGGGAAATAAAGTCTTTAATGCGTCCTACCCGATCCGCCGACCTGGAAACCCAAAGTCACTCTCAGAGCTGGCCGGACGCTGCAAGCTGGCCGAGAGCCCAAAAATGGAGAGAGCCCCCAAAGCCCACGTGTCTGCCTTTTGTATCCACCTGGCTGCTTAACCCCACCCTCAGGTCCCAGCCACCTTCCCTTTGGTGGTGATGGGATTTGGAGTTCCCAGTGTCTTTGGCTTTGACCTGGGGTGGGGGTGGAGTCCACAAAGCCTATATGAAATTTGCTTTGGGACATCCTTTTTCCCCCTAACATAAGGAAGAGAAACTTGCTAAAGACGTATTGGGTAAAATTCAGGATATTACAGAACTCAAAATAAAGTTCTAGCAGCAATAAGCCCAACATTTTCTTTTTGGTTTATAATTGAATCTTGTCACAGAAAGAACAAGAATTCTCGATTTTAGGGGAAAGATTGAGTTAAACTCATTAGGCCAGAATAAACCCAACTTTAGAGAACAAATTATACACTTTGTAGATTAACTGCTAATTTCCACTTTAAGGATTATTTGCCTTGAATACAAGGATTTTGCATGCTTCAGTGTTGTGTATAGGCTGAGTTCAACAGCTCTCAGAAGAAAAGGCTTCCAAATCCTTTTCTATGATGACAATTTTAATCTATGACTAGGTAGAGTGTTGTTCTCTATTTGGGAACATATCAGTTGGTTTGGTCATAGTGATGAACCCCATCTTTTTATTTTTTTTATTATTTTTTTTAATAATAAATTTTATTTTTATATTCCCCCATACAATTGCAAACGCCCCATTCTGACCCCAATCCCTCCCCTCCCGCCCCCCACCCCCCAAAAAGTGTCTCTGGTTCATAGTTTTTTGTTGATTTTGATTTTCACTTTCTTATAGTTATTCATTTTCATGGTCCCTTATTTAAGTTTTCTAGATTCCTGCTATGAGTGAGACCATCCGGTATTTTTCTTTTTCTTTTTGGCTTATTTCGCCGAGCATGATCCCTTCCAACGCCATCCATGTTGCTGCAAATTGCATGTGTTTATCTTTTTTGAATGCTGAGTAATATTCCATGGTGTATATGTACCACATCTTCTTGATCCAGTCATCTATTTTTGGGCATTTGGGCTGTTTCCAAAGCTTAGCTATTGTAAATAGTGCTGCTATAAACATAGGGGTGCAGGTGTTCTTTGGAATTGATGTTTCTGTGTCCTTTGGGTAAATACCTAGGAGTGGAATTGCTGGATCATATGGAAGCTCTATGTTTAGTAGGTCCAGAAATCTCCACACAGCTCTCCACAGTGGTTGGACCAGTTTGCACTCCCACCAACAGTGCAGAAGAGTTCCTTTTTCTCCACAACCTCACCAACATTTCTTGTTGCTAGTTTTTTTTAATATGTGCCATTCTCACTGGTGTGAGATGGTATCTCATGGTAGTTTTGATTTGCATTTCCCTGATTACAAGTGATGTTGAACATTTTTTCATATGTCTGTTGGCCATTTGCATTTCCTCTTCAGAGAAGTTTCTTTTTAGCTCTTCTGCCCATTTTTTGACTGGATTATTTTCTTTGTTGTTGCTGAGTCTCATCAGCTCTTTGCAGATTTTTGGTATCAGTCCTTTATCATTAGTGTTGGGTGCAAAAATGTTCTCCCAGTTGGTGGGGTTTCTCTTTGTTTTTGTTATTGTCTCTTTTGCTGTGCAGAAGCTCTTTAATTTGATGTAGTCCCAGCTGTTTATCTTTGCCTTCACTATCACTGCTTTGGGTGATGTGTCTGTAAAGATGTCTTTGATGTGCAAATCCCGTAGTGTTTCGCCTATATTTCCTTCTATGTATTTTATGGTTTCAGGTCTTATGTCTAGTTCTTTAATCCATTTTGAGTTGATTTTTGTGTATGGTGTGAGGTAGTGGTCAAGCTTCATTCTTTTGCATGTAGCGACCCAGTTTTCCCAGCACCATTTATTGAACAAACTTTCTTTGCTCCAATGCATAGTCTTTGCTCCTTTGTCAAAGATTAGTTGACCATAAATCTGTGGGTTTATTTCTGGATTTTCTATTTGAGAACCCCATCTTTTTAGATATATTAGATATGGTTGTCAGCTAGGTCTGCAATAAGCAAGTGAAGTGAAAACATCTAAAAACGCCTTTTACTTTAAATATATTAACAGACAAAAATGGGAAGGTTATAGGTAGATGAATTGTTCTCATTTCTACTTTATATTTATAAACATCAACCTCTATTTATTGAAGCTGAATCAAGAATTTAAAATCTCTTGATATTAAAATACAAATAAAAGCAAACTTTCCAAGTCACACAGTATGCACAGTCTATGTTACTCCTTTTCTGTTGACTTGTTTGGATTTTTAAAATATTTTAACAAAGGATATAAAACAAAAAATTAGAAATAGGCATGAGATATATTCATTTCTCAAATATATTTATAAAATTCTTGCATCTTAAAATGAATTCTGGTTTTAAAATGAAACTGTGGGCCTCCTCTGGTAGCTCAGTGGTTGAGCGGTGGGCTGCGAAGCTGCCCACAGTCTGCAGCACTGGTTCGATCCCCGGCCACCGGCGAGGGTCCCACATGGTGCGCAGACCTCTCCTGCAGTCCACTGGTCCCCTCATCAGTGTGTTTCGTCAGTCTGCCTGCTCTGCTCCCAGGTCTGGCCCTGGTGAATTCTCTCACCCTCCTGTGCTTCTGACTGTACCCAGTGCTTATATAAATAAATAAATAAATAAATCTTTAAAAAATAAATAAATAAAATAAAATAAAACTGTTAAGACTCATAATCTCAAGCTTGAAACAACGTTTTAAAATCTCTGACTTCACTGAATTCATTTCAGACCATTTTGTGTCTTTGCTGTAACTCGAAATTACATGAGAGCTTGATCCTTATTAAATGTTCTTGAATTCTTAACCTCTTATATAATTTCTATTTTTATGTATTGTAAATAAGATGAATATTTTCCCTAAAATTATTAAGAACAGAATGTAAATTTCTAAATTACAAAAATGACAAAATTCCCTTCATACTTCCTCCTTAAACAGTGGTATCAGACTGAGGACTATTTAAAGATCTGTTTCAAAAGAAATATCCATAATTTTGCTGATCTTTATGGTATCATATTCCCTTGATGTTCAGCCAGTAATACACTGCCTTGTCCTCAGTTGCATTTGTTCTGCTTTAAATGATATCTTTGGTTTCATTTTTTTTTTTAACCCAGCACCAACCAATTTTATATACCTACCACAGCTCCTTGCTCCATATAGTCTGTGCGTGCATGTGTGTGTGTGTGTGTATAAGCAATCTCTTTCATATTTCAAGTTGCTGTTGAAGACAGGGTCATTATCCACATGTCCAAGTAGCTAAGAATACCTCACACATAGAGCAGGGTGCACGCAGCTATTGGAAAGTAGGGCCTTTCAGGCTTTCCAATACCCACCTCCATTGTCAATCATCACAGCTTTGCCTCTTCCTCTCAGGCTGCCTTTGCACAAATTAATCTGTCTCCACTCTTTCGAGACTGCAGTTCAATCTGTTTTGGGTTTCATATAATTTGAGTAGATAGACTCTGTTAAAAGTGCTCCTTTCTCCTACGTCCCTTTACCACTACCCCAGTTCCACTAACCACTAAAAAGATGTGAAGATCCTAAGGAAATCCAAGTATAGGCCTATTCATAGTTTTAAATCTTATTGCCTTGGCAGTCCACTTTGAAACTGGTGATAGATGAGATATGATACCATCTGGAATGCGGTCATTTGTCACCCCATTAGGTAAAACCTCTATTGCAACTGTTGTCAGGAAAGGTCTTAGTAATGAGGAGAGTATGTGATTCTGTAAGCCTCCCTCTCTAACCTGACTGGGAGACCTATGCTATGACACTGAGATATAAGGGTTGCTTACCAATTAGCAAAGCAAACCACACTCGAAATGTGTAAACAATCCTCTCAATTGGGCAGAAAGCCCAGGACTAAAGTTTCTCTGACCTCTTATAACTAATGTAACCACAGATACCTCTTCCCTTCAATTATTTAGGCTTCCCCCATGCCTGGATTGGATTCCTGCTGGCAATAACGGGGCGCACACTCATTAATCATCTTCTTGTCACTGTAGTCCAGTGGGGGGCAGGAGGCTTGGGAGGAGGGCCACAGGGAGGCAGAGATGCTTACTACCAAAAATAGAATATAGAATGCCTTCTTTCACTGATAAATAGAAGCAAACTCTGCAATAAACATGCTATCTTGTCATGGGCAAGTCCTTCTGCAATTGTCTTGAAAAGAAGCATATAATATCAGTGCTATATAGTGATATATCAGAAGCATACAATAGTCAAGATGAAAATAGATACTAAATTAAAATAAGGGATTTTAGGAAATAACTATATAACTATAAATTCAGTTATACCAATAATTTTTGAGTCATGGAACACTGGATTTTCTAAGTAATAAATGTTTGGTCCATGAAGCCTGACATTTGAGTTTTCAGCCTTTATCTACATGAGAAACTCCGCTTATGTGTGTTCCTATGTGCTTACAGAAACATTTTTATCTTCCTAGATGTATTTGCAAAACACAACTTTCAAGGCTTCCTAGAAGACTGTCATTGCACACAAATACAAGGTAATGGAACATCAAAAAATTAACATCTTTTAGAACTCGAATCACTGTTAAGAACCAGTGCCATGACTTCATTTTATAAATGAAGAGGTTCAAGGCCAGAAAATTATTATTCAAGAGGCTCAAGTTCCTTTCCAAGCCTTTCTCCCAATGTGGGCTTGTTCCTGACACTTTGTATCAGTTCGCCCATATTCCTGCTCTGGCTTAATATGCTATCTCATGGGGCACAGAGAAAAGATATTCAGGGTCCACAATCATCTTTTAAAATTAGATTGAGGGGCCTCCCTGGTGGCACAGCAGGTTGAGCGCAGCGCTGTAAAGCTGTTCACAGCCTCTGCAGTGCGGGTTCAATCCCAGCCGGCCGGGGAGATACCCACATGGCGCAGCAGACCTCTCCTGTCTCACCCACTGCTCCCCTCAGCAGTGTATTTCAGTCAGTCTGCCTGTTCTGCTCCCTGCTGTCTCTGGTGAATTCTCTCACCCTCCTGCACCCTCTGGTTCTTGTATAAATAAATAAATCTTTAAAAAAATAAAAATAAAAATATTAGATTAAACTTCTGCTTAGTTTAGTTTAATGAAGGAGCGTCATCCCATTCTTTGGTTGAGAAAGCAGAGTTAGAAAAGTTAAGTTGAGCTAAGTAGTTGGAGGCAGACTACTTGGTTAGAGGCGGAATAGGGTTGGTGCCCAGTCTGCCTGACTATTAGCACCCAAACGTGCCTGGTATTTCCATTTCTTTTCTTTTTTTTTAAGATTTATTTATTTATGCATGTAAGAACTGGGGTATAGGCCAGATGTGCGGGAGGGTGAGAGGATTCACCAGAGACAGGGCAGGGAACAGAACAGGCAGACTGACTGAAATACACTGCTGAGGGGAGCAGTGGGCGAGACAGGAGAGGTCTGCTGCACTGTGTGGGTAGCTTCCTGGCCTGCCAGGGATCGAACTCATGCTGCAGTGGCTGCGGACAGCTTCATAGTGCAGTGCCTTCCCTTGTGCCTCCAGTTGATCTTTTATCCAGGAAAACAAAAACATGTTCACTTTTGGTGTACCTGTAAAAACAATGTTCGCCTTCATACAGGCATAAGATGAGAACTGAAAGGGAATTGGAGAGACTAGATACACCACTCAGCATAGTCTCCTAGACAGCCCACCAATGGAGTCCCAGGAGCTTCTGAGGGTTGTTCTGGGGCTATTTACATAGTGGAGGATGGTTCTAGAACCACTCCAATTAACCATTAGTTTCACCCATCACCGTGTTTCATCTCTAAAATAACGGTAAAAGCATCCAACACTGATGATTTTCAACATATTGGCCTGCAAATGAAAAGTATCAGCTAATCAATTTAGTGATGTCTGCCCAGTGAGAATGGCTTGAGGGAGGGTGGCCCACTGTGTCATATAGCAAAGTCAAGTGGGAAAGACTAGACAACCACCCGCTATTTAAAAGTCACCATCTGTTTTGCAAGTTGTTCTCTCCCTTTTGTCCTTTTCATTTACCGTTCTTTTTATATTTTCCCTTATGACTTTTCTTTTCCTGTATACATAGTATTATCTTTCACAGAGCAGAGAAATCAAAATCTATTTGTTCTATTAATTAGTCTAAACAATTTCCCATTGATGAAACGAACCACAAATTGATGAACAGGAATATAGGATACAAATGTCTGTGTTAGAGTACAGATTCTGTCCAAAATAAAAATAGGCTGGATTATCTTGGTGGGTAAGTCACTTAACCTCTCTGAGTCTGTTTCTTCACCTTTAAAATTGAGATCATCAACCAGCATAATTGCAAAATACAAAACAAAGCAAAACAAAAACTATATGTGACACTGCTTAGTAATTTGCTAAGCTTCATATAAATACTATTTTTTTAAAGATTCATTTATTTATGCATACAAGAACTGGGTACAGAGGTGTGGAGGGTGAGAGGATTCACCAGAGACAAGAGTGGGGAACAGAACAGGCAGATTGACTGAAATCCATTGCTGAGAGGAGCAGCGGGCAAGTCAGGAGAGGTCTGCTCTGCCATGTGGGTCACCTCCCTGGCAGGGGATTGAACTCATGCTGCAGTGGCTGTGGATAGCTTCATAGGTTGTGTCTTAACCCTTTGCGCCACCAAGGAGGCACATAAATATTATTTTTAACACAATCAGATGTTAGTTTCAAACCTTGTTCACATGACAAGGTAAAATCAATGATTATTGCTATGGATTATACTACAAGATTTGTATATTTAAAATTTTGCAACAATATAACTTAAGATAGGAAATTCTGACTAAAGTAACTTGAGAAACAATTTTAGCATTTGATACCTAAACCAAACCCTAATCAAATAAATCCCTGTGGCTTGTAACTCAATTCATCTCTCTGTTGATTGGTTTGACATAAGAGCTGCAGTTCTTATAGAAAGATCTGCTTGCCAAATCAAAGTGGAGATTAAGAGGGAAAATGTCCCAAGTGTAAATTGTGTTTATAAAGTTTATCTGTCATCAAAACCTTTCTAAACTTCAACTAAAATTTATAACTCTCTAGGCTACACAATCTCATCAGTGCTCCAAGCCACACTGGGAATTCTTATCTGTGTGTGTCTTATCTGATTGACCGTAGAGCAGGAAGAGAAATTATGTTCTACTTCCTGCTGTCCTATCTTTTTGAGCTTAAAGTGTCCAGCCCACGATTGTCAGCATAAGTGAGCCCAGACATTCGTCAAGAACATTAGGCTGCCTTTCCTATGTAGAGGAGCTTCTCCAAAATTCATCTTCAAGGAGTTTCTAACCTTTGGATTAAAAAAAAATTGGAACAGTAGCTTATCAACAAAAGTCAATGACAGCACATAGTTCTAAGGGATGACAGGTGTGAAACCAACCATCACTGAAATGCAGATTACAAATTCAGAAGCAATGGCAGGACTTGAAAAGGTGGGGGAGGAGATGTAGTGAAAGGGCAAAAAATACTTCAATATTGTTTGTGTTAAATAAATCTCCCAAAATGTTTTTCATAACTTTCGATAAAAATTTTCAAAGGGCCTCTCCTAGTGATGCAGGGGTTAAGTCTCATTGCTATCAAGCTATCACCAGCTACTGTGGCATGAGTTCAATGCCTGGCCAGGGAGCTGAGCGACATGGCACAGCAGACCTCTCCTATCTCATCCGCTGCTCCCCTCAGCAGTATATTTCAGTAGACTGCCTGTTCTGCTCCCCACTCTGTCTCTGATGAATCCTCTCACTCTCCCACACCTCTGGCCTACACCCCAGTTTTTGTATGCATAAATAAATAAATCTTTGAAAAAATACTTTCAAAGCTCCTCCTTGCCCTCACAATAAAGTCCAGCCCCCCACAGAAAGCATGATTCAGTCAACAAGTGGTTATGGAATGCAGACTCTGAGCTAAGAAGTAAGGAGACCATAGGGAGCATGGAGCTTCTGTGAATGGTTCCTTATAACTTTCCCATATCCTGCTCTATATAAAAACTCTATACAGCTATAAAGTTCTGCAAGAGTTCATTAATATTTCTGCTTCCTCTGCTCATCCAAATATGGCCTCCTCCTTCCTTTGAAAGCCTCCTTAACTTTCAAAGCTAAGCTCAAATGTACTGCTTCTTACAACCTCTGCTAATCCATGAGGCCAACTTCCAAAGCACCTTCTTCTGCTTCTCCCTTAGTCTATTCAAACTGCTACAACAAAAATAAGGGGTGGATTAGAAATAACAAATTTATTTCTTACAGTTCTGGAGGTTCAAGTTCTTATGAAAACCCTTCCTGGTTCATAAATAGTCATCTCATCATTGTGTCTGCACATGGCACAAGAGGCAAGGAACCTTCTGAGGCCTATTTTATGTGGTATGGTGGCTTTACCCTCATGACCTAATACATCCCAAAGTCCCACCTCCTAATCCCATCACACTGGAGTTAGGACTGAATTTTGGAAAATGAATGGAGGACACAAATGTTCGGTCTCTAGCAATCTTTTAATTAGCCAATAAATTAACAATCTATTAGTAAACAAAGTAATTCATTGGGAATACGTCATAAAAGGAGGGAAAGTATGCTTTGGAGACAAGCTTCCCCCACACACACACACACGAGGATCCAGCATTGGGTTATTCACAAGCATATAAAACACCTTCTCTCTCCTTGCCCTGATCCTCGTAAGAGTGTAGCACAGGTGTGCATGCACCTACGGCAGTTAATCAGCAAGACCAGCACCCACAGCTAACAATCAGGATAGAGGGACAAGAAAGCGGAGACAAAATAATGAGACTGTTCACAATAGAGTGATGAAGATGTAATATGTTTATGAAGAATAAGAAATAAGTATTTCTCATTCATAAATGGACATCAGTTTTGGAGATACCTTACACAACAGGTAATTTTACCACAGTGTATACTGCTTCTCGAAAATGGTACCGAAGGTGAGACTGGTCAAAGGTGATGAGTGAGAGACAGCACTTTTTCTTTTTGTAGCCTCAGGCAAATAATATCCTGAGGCTTGAGCTAAACATCCGGGTGAGCTTGGAACCCAAGGAGAAAGCAACCCACTAAAAAGATATAACCTACATTTGCCATTCAGATTTATTAAATCTTTTCAGTGTTCTCTTGAGAGAAATCTATTTAGAAACAATGAATAATTAAAACTAATATTAACAAGCATATCCTTAAATTTCAGTGAAAGTCTTTCTCAATTTTTTCTCTATGATTTCCTCATAATTTAGAATGAGCAACTCTCCTGGACCCCGGGAATGAGAAGTCTGTGACCTAGGGTAAGCTGCTATTATTCACTTGAATTCCTCAAAAGGGATAATCGGGAGGGTTGTTTTTCACTGTGATTTTGTGATTTCCAAGTGTATTGGGAAAAGTGCCTATGAGTATTGCTGATGAGTCAGACGCTGCACATTCTCGGTAACATCGATGAGAAGCCAAGGATGAGTGAACACTACCGCTTGCAAAATGATTTCAAAATGAGCCCCAAACAGTGGTTACTGGCTTTCTCTTCGTCCTATCCATTTGGTGAGAAATCACTTTTAGTAACAGGCAGGGCTTGTCTCCTCAGCTTGTCACCCACTAACCAATTTCCCTTTGCCTTTTCTTACGCAAAGTTCTTTAGGCACATCCAGGAGCTCTGGGGTTCCTTCTTATAAAGGAGAGTGGGAAATCTTGCAGAATCCACAGGCAAATGAGGACAGGAGAGAATCTTTCCAAACCAGAGCCTTCAACCTTGATCAGGAGACTCGATCCTCTCATTTCTTCAACACATGATTGCAGTCAATGGTGGTTCTTAAGTAGGCATCCAAAAGAACGAATTGATTGAAACAGAAAAGAAGGTATTAGGCACACTCAGTAGATTTTAGCCTCTCTGGGAGGATGTAGAACCAGGTCTGAAGACTCTATAGGCAAATCTAATGCCCACTTTACTCAGGAGCATGGCTACAGCAGAGACCCGCATATCCAGCATCAGCAACACTGGGTCCTGGAGGCACCTAGAGAACCTCCTCCTTGGGGGAGTCTCAAAACCACACATCTCTGGAACTGCCTTCTCCACATTGGGTTCTCAATGCGCGATCCTCCCATCCTACCTTCCAAATCAATGACATACCTATAGATCTCTGGTTTCACAGTACCCAGAGCTCATACTCATGCCACAATGTAAAAAAAAGACCAGAAAAATTAATTTCTAGTACTTTCTATAGGAACATAAAGACAAAACAGAGATTCCCCAAATAGTCATGTTCAAAGATACCAAACCAGGGGCTTCCCTGGTGGTGCAAGGGGTTAAGTCTCAGCACTATGAAGCTATCCACAGCCACCGCAGCACGAGTTCTATCCCCAGCCAGGGAGCTGACCCACATGGCACAACAGACTTCTCCTGGTCTCACTTGCTGCTCCCCTCAGCAGTGTATTTCAGTAGATCTGCCTACTCAGCTCCCCACCCTGTGTCCGGTGAATCCTCTCACCACCACCCCCACACACCTCTGGACTGCACCCCAGCTCTTATATGCATGAATAAATAAATCTTTATTAAACAAAAAAAATACCAAACTGCCCAAAAGAATGACATGTGTCCACTCTCTTAATTTCTTAACAGAGCTGGGATATCAATCAACTTTCTAGATCATGAAGAACAAAAGAATCCAGAAGGAATGGTGTGTTTTCATTCAATACCTCTATTCCCACTGAACCCTTGCCACTTGCTCTTGACTTACAAGCTGGTTGTTTTTTTTAATTAAATTACTCAATATTTCTAGCGCAAGCCATTCACCCAAATGGAATCCCCCTGGGGGCACTCTTGTCTTCCGACAGCTCATTTCCAGGCTCAATTGAATTTTTCACAAAAATTGAGTTATGTTATTTCTAGGCCTAAGACCCTCCAATGGCTGTGTAAACACCTTCATACAGCCTGCTGGGCTGTCTAGAAACTGGCCCCTGCCTGGATTCCCTGCAAGCCATCTGGGGCCCCCCTACTTCCCCTCATTGACTGTTCCTCAGCTCCACTGACCCTCCAACATAGGCACTTGTGGTTTTTTCCTACCTGTAATTGTGTTCCCCCAAATTACTGCATGGAAGATCCTTTGAATCATAGGAGGTCTTAGCACAAACACCACTTCCTCAGAAAGACCTTCCTTGACCACCTTATCTAACTTGGACAACCTTTCCCAAACTCTTCAGTTTCTGTACCCTCTTATTTATTTATATATTTATTTATTTATTTATTTATTTTTGTGGGACCCTCGCTGATGGCTGGGGATCAAACTGGCGCTGCAGAGGCTGCGGGCAGCCTCGCAACCCAGCGCTCAACTGCTGCGCCACCAGGGGAGGCCCTGTACCCTCTTTTTTAAAATCATAGTTTTTATCAGTGCCTACATTTTATTGCTCTATTTAGCAAACTGTTTATTTTTTGTTTGCTCTCCCAAAAAATGAGATTCAAGTTCATCTCAGAATCCCCCGTACCTACAACTGTGCCTAAGCAATTAACAGGCCTTTACACTGTATCCCAAATTCCTGGCTCAATGCCTTCCACATTCTGCCTAATTCAGACTTCCCTTTGCCCCACTTCCTCGCACCCTAACTGAGTTCCCTGTCATGTGTTTGAGCAGATGGAACCTCCCACCTACCCTGAAGCAGATGGCGTCCTCCCTGGCTAGTGTAGGCAGAGTATCAGTAGTCTGGGAGCGGAGCACATGATCGAGCGTACAGGGCTGTGGAGTTTGGAAGACATTGAGTGGGAGAGTGAGGAAGAAAGGATGGGGACGTCAGGCCAGCCAGAAGTCAAGTGGGGAACCATCTGACAAAAGTGGTTAAAGATACAGAGTTGGGGCCTCCCTGGTGGTGCAAAGGGTTGACGCAACCTATGAAGCTATGCGCAGCTACTGCAGCACAAGTTCGATCCCCGGCCAGGGAGCTACCCATGTGCCACAGCAGACCTCTCCTGTCTCGCCCGCTGCTCCCCTCAGCAGTGTATTTCAGTCAATCTGCCTGTTCTGTTCCCCACTCTGTCGCTGGTGAATCCTCTCACCCCGCCACCTCTGGCCTGTACCCCAGTTCTTGTATGCATAAATAAATAAATCTTTTTTTTTAAGGGGGGGCCTCCCTGGTGGCACAGGCAGTTGAGCGCTGCACCGTGAAGCTGTCCGCAGCCTCTGTAGTGCCAGTTCAATCCTGGACGGCCGGTGAGGGTCCCACATGGTGCGGCAGACCTCTCCTGTCTCACCCACTACTCTCTCAGCAGTGTATTTCGTCAGTCTGCCTGTTCTATTCCCCGCTCTGTCTCTGGTGAATCCTCTCACCCTCCCACGCATCTGGCCTATACCCCAGTTCTTGTATAAAAAAATAAATCTAAAAAAAAAAAAAGGTACAAAGTTGATAACAAAAGTCAGTTGACTTATTATCTAGCTGGGGTGTAACCTCAGTGGTCACTTTTTTCTTCGAAGCAGAGAGAGAGACAGAGTCAGGCATACAAACTATGTCTCTCATCTAGGAACTATTTCTTAAAGACAGAGACATGCATATGCTTATAAATGCTTTTTGATAATACAGAGTCCCAGGAGCCAGAGCTCTTAGAAGAGCAAAATATAAAAAAAGAGATACACTTGGCCTTGAACTGTCCAGTGATATCAGAGTTATCTGTGCTGTCTCAGCTATAGCTTTAAGAGAAAGATGGCATCCTTTTCCCTTCAAGTAAAGTTCTATTTTAATTACGTTTCCTCAAAACATTTACCTGAACTGTCTCTGCTCCAAGTATACCTTCAAATGAGCATGTCCTCAAACAGATGACAGGCATCACTGAGAATCCCTACATCATAGACCTTGACCTAAATGTTGTGATAAATTGAGTAATAGTTTTCAGTCTTAACTACTTTCTTTTTAATTATCTGAACTATCTAGATAATCACTTGCATTTCACTCTAATGGAGAAAGTACCATGATGTTGTGAAGTGTGGTTTGTATTAGTTACACCCCCTTGCAGTTGTATTAACTCAACCCAATCCAACCCCAAGCAGAATCTAAATCTCTTACCTCAAATCAGAGGACTTACCAGGCCCAGAACTGTTGAATGGTAGGTGATGAGGAAGCAGGCAGAGAAGTGCTTTTCCACTCCACTCTTGTCCTCCTGACTGGAGGTATTCACCCTTGTCCCTCCAAACCACCCTTTCTCTCCCACTGAGTGTTAGAGAAGCTCTGCCTTCCCTCTCCCTGCCTCTAAAGGCAATTACATCTAACCACTCCAACTGGGGAAAGAAGAAATGGACCTTCAGGAAAGCATCTTATCTGTCACTTAGGTAACAGACTTATTTAAATGATGATTTCTACTTTGGGGTGAGGTGGTAGGGGCAGAGACCCTGTTAAATCAGTGAGAGAAAAGAGGGGAAGGTAAATGCCCAGAAACAACTGCATTATTGTTTGGGGTTACAACATTGACTCAGTTGCAAATAGCATAAATCACGAGATTTAGACTTAAAAGTACTCAATGATACTTAACCCTACAATGAGGTACTTAGACAAATAAAGAGGACCTTATCATAGATGAAAAGTTTCCCTGGAACCAAAATGCTGGGGTGCAGGCAGATCTAATGAGTAAATGTGATTTGGGGATTCAAACTCTCTTCGGACCCTTTTTTCTGTTTCCTGTCTTTTGTCTACTGTCTACTTCATTTCTTACTCTTTCACTCACTATCACTCTTCTCTCTGCTTTCCAGCTCTTTCTCTCCTTCTGGTGCTTACTGTGGTTCTTGGCCTTGGTCTGTCTCTTTGCCTGGAGCAGCTTCCATTGTTTCTCTTGTCTACATAGAAGAAGCACAACCAATGAGGTCTCCTGGATTTCCCCGTAACAGGTCTAGCTGCTCAAGTCCACCCTTGGACAAATAATAGGGGAGCTACTGAGTTAATGTTATATGAACATGACAGTCAGAGCTAGTCCTGGAACCATGAGAAAGGAAGTCATGGGGCAGGAGACCAAGGGGCAAAAGATTACTGGCATATATAACAATTATCTACTACCTAATGTACATATAATGAATCATTTATTGTCATCCTTATGAGTATCTTACCAGTTGCCTAGAATATTTCATCTCACTTGAGAACAAAGGAATTAGATCCTTAGAAATATTTGCCAACCTATCTATCCGTATAATAAAGATCTTTTAGAAATCTATATCACACACTTAACCAAAGATGGGATTCTGCTCTTATTTCAGTTGTGAGAAATTCCTTGGTGTTCTGTGTGGTTGCCCACAAAATTAAGTGCTCTATTCTACATTTTTAACAGATGGGAGAGCTTTCTTCACTTACTATAATTCTCATGTCATTGAGCCAGAAGGGAGTAAGGGAATTAGAAAATAACGATACATTAAGCAAATATCAATTGCTGCTCCTTCTTTTTTTTTTTAATCACTAGAATTTTAATGTCATTTTTTTCCTCCCTCTGCCTATCAGTACAAAGACGGAATAGGTGCTCAATAAATTCTTGCTGAAATAAAATGTTTATCTAATAGGTGCAAAGTCACTTGACTGACTGTGCCATTTCTCCTCTGATGGAACAAGCAAATAGAAAATAGATAAGTGTTTAGGTATACTTCAGTATACATCAGAAGTCCCATATAGATATTCCTGGAATGTTATTAACGATTATCTTCACAATTCTAGGCTGTAAGGGTTTTTTTCTTTTTTTCAAAATTAGCAGTAAGTGTGGTTCCCTTAGGGAAGTTCTAAAAATATTCTGTTCCACATACGGTTTTCTTGATGTTACTGCAGGTGTGTGTGTGCCTTTGCTGGATGCAACAGTCTATCTGCTGTTTTGAATATATTCCAAGATCATTTGCCAAGGTATGGGCAATTTAATCTAGAAGCATTTATTAAGCACCTCTGTGATAACTGCTATGTAATTTCAATAAATAAAAAGCTAAGATAAATTGTTATGTTAAAGAAGCAGTTTTGTTTTTCATTCCTAGTAGATATTCTACATCTTTCCAAAAACCACAACTATTAAGATAAGGTGCATAACTTTAATTTATAGTTTTTTCACTGTTCTTGTTTCCAAATGATTCTGAGTCCCCTGTTCTTTCCATAATCATAAGACTAGTTTTCAAAATCTGAAATCTGCTCCCGTCTCTCTTATTTTTTCTCATTTTAAAATTGCTTAAATTAAATTTGTATGTTCTACTGATAAGCAGATTTTTTTCTTTCTTGGCTTTTTAACTAAAATTCTTACTGTTCCTTTCTGATGGTAGAAAAAAAGAAATATTTTAACTGAAATTTATTTAAAAACTGAAGATTTTTAAAAGAAGGAATATTTTCTAGGAATTAGTTAGCTGTTCTCCATGTGTTTCTTTAGCGTTATTTACAAACCAGATAATGGAATATGGCCATTGTCAGGTCAATTGGGTCACTATAAAAACTAACATGGATAATGGACACATAAAAAGTTTTCTTAAGAGAAAAGGTTATTTTTTTGAAGAACTTAAATTAATGAAGATACATATCTAATATAAATGTGAAGGACATAGAGGTTTTTATTTCTGCCAGCTAATATAACTGCAAACTTTGGTTTGAAAGTCTACAGATGATGTAGAATTAGCAATGCCTTGAAAACACTCAGCTCTCCTTTTAATTTAACAACCTCCTCATAATGTATAAATGACTCAAGTATGTGTACAACTGTACTGCCTAATGACTCTCTGGGAAGAAGGAGATCTTCATTAAAGCATTTCTGTGAAAACTCTGAATTCAGCAGAATACAGGGTTTAGCTCCGGAGGGACTATTAGTGCTTTGACATATTCAGCAACTCCATCCCCATGAAGCATTGTTTTGCTATCTGATATATTTTGCACATAACACCAGTAGCATCTTTTATCATAGGGCTTTAAGGTTTGTACAGCTACATTTACTATCTTGATTTTCAGAGATTCAGAAAGGTTAAGTGATTCCAGATCCTATTCTTTTCTGCCCTCATTAAGATTTCAGAGCTCCACCAACCCCTATCTGGGAAGAAAACAAACTGTGACACAGATAATGTCGTCCATCTGGGTCACTGCAGCAGTTCCTAGTGATCCATCTGCCCTGATACAGCAGATACAGGCTGGGAACACCAGTCACCGTGCCACAGCCACTGCGACTCTCCTTGATCTCTGTTCTCCTCTCACGTTACGGTCACCCTTAATTTACACATTGAATTCTTAATCATTCCCTACTCTACCCTGTTGCTTAACCACTTCATGTTCATTTATTCAACTGTCGTGTAATCATGAAACATTTACTATGAGGAAAACATGATTCTAGACTGGTGTATATGTGGTTTTTCTTTTTTAATCTTACTCATGTAAATACCTCTGTCTTATTCAAACAGAAAAGAAGAATTTAAGGACAATTGGTTTTGATTCCACTGAAGAAATACAAAGTCACTGTTCTCAAGAATTCTAACAAAGGAAAGAAGAAAGGACTCCCCAAAGTTATTCCAGTTTATCTCGTCTCCTAAGTATGTCGTTGAGTTGAAATTACTCATCTTCTCTGAGGTTGGGTATGACCATGTAAGTTCTTTTGGCCAATGAAGCATGAGTTGGAGTGAGGTATACAACTTTCATGTGGACGCTTTGAGGACCAGTAAGTAACTGGTCACATTCCTTTTGTTCGGCCCTAGTGATCGTAGAGGTATTTGATAAAAGTAGAGCTTCCGTAAACCAGAGTCTTGGAACATGCATTATAAACAGAGTCTCTCTCCAGTCTTCACTGAATATGGAGCAACGGTGAGAAGTAAACTTTTGTTTTATTAAACCACTGTGATTTTTTTAATCAGCTTTATTTATGCACTATAAAATTCTATTTAAAGTGGTTAAAGTTCAATGGCATTTAATATATTTGTGTGATTTTCATTATTATCTCATTTTAGAACATTTTCATCAGAAAATCGTTGAGGAGATTTCATCCTCAAGCAGTCTCGTTCCCATCAGCTATCACTCCCCATTTCTTATGTATCCTCCCAGCACTACGTAAGCGCTAATCTATTTTGTTTGTATTTATTTTCCTGTTCTGGACATTTCATGCAAAGTGATTTGTGGTCCTTTGTTTCTTTCACTAACCATATTTTGGAATTCATCCATGTCCATCCATGTTTGGAGGCTCATCTCACTAATAAATTACCTTTTTATGTACAATACTAATTTTATTTTTAAATTTCAACTTGTCTCAGTCTGTCATGACTTTTAACTGGGTTTCTTTCTGTTAATTTTTTTTTCAACATGGCCAGAGGACTAATATATTGTTTTTCATTTGTAAATACAGTATACATCTGTACCACTTTTTCTTTATTCATTCTTCCTGTGGTCTATGTTTGGGTTTGCACTTTTTGGCATTTATGAATAATGCTGTTACAAGCATCTGTGTGCAAATTTTGTGTGCAAATATATTTTTTTTGGTTTTGCCTGGAATTTCTCTAGGAATGGAATTACTAGATCATATGGTAATTATGTTTAATGACTTAAAAAACTGCCAAACTTTTTCCAGATTCATTGTACCCATTCTATTCACATCAGCAGCATATGTAGTTTCTACCAATAATTCTATGGTAAGTCACCTGTTATTTGTCTAGCTTTTTATTCTAGTCATTCTAGTGGACGTGCAATGGTCTATTACTAGGGATTGACTTAAGGAGAAATGATGTTTCTGCATTATTCCATGGACTTACTCACTATTTGAGAATCTTCTTTGGAGAAATGACTACTAAATTCTTTGATCATTTTATAACTGCATTATCTGTTTTTTAATTACCGAGTTGAAAGAGAGAATTACAAACTCTAGATCCAAGCCCCTTATCAGATATGTAACTTGCAAATATTTTTCTCATTCTGTGGGTTGTCATTTTCCTTTCCTGATGACATGTTTGCAAGACAAAAGTTTTTTTAGCTATTCTCAGTTTTTTCATTTCCATAAATTTTAGGTCAGCTTGTCAATTTCTACTCAAAAAATTCCCAGGAAGAATGTCAGTAAGGATTGCATTACATATATGAATCAACGTGGGGGAGAATTACTATCTTTAACAATATTGAGTATTCTGATCCATGAACATAGGGTGTCTTCATTTATTTAGATAATCTTTAATTTTTTTCAACAGTATTTTGTGGGTTTTGGTACACAAATCTTACACTTCCTACGCAATCTCAGGAACAATATGATTTTTCTATTTCCAAAGTGCAAGCTGACCTTTAGGTTCTGTGTTCTCCTTTCCTGCTGTGCCAGTTAGCACAGGACTCCATATTCTCCCCCTGCTTTGGTCACCAAGCTCTAGCTTATCCCTTACTTAGATTCTCTCATCTCAGCGAGACTGTTATGAAGTCACAACCATAACCTCATCTCCTCTTGAGAGTCCAGAAAACTCTGTCCCCCACCAGATGAAAACAAGACACAAAGGGTTAAATTGTTTCACATGGAATCTTGTTATTTCATTTTTTTTTCTTTGCTTCTGTTTGTTTTTACTAGACTATATGGGAACAGAAATAAGAAAAAATAAAAAAAATGACAAAGTTTTAATATCTAAGATAGTTTTGCTTTCAATATCCCCTTTTGAGTCAATAACTCTGAATCTAGCTGGGTTTCTCTTCTAACAGTTACTACTGACTGCATTATGATTGAGAAGACTGCTCATTCAGATGACCAAAATATGTATTTCCCATACATATTTGTTCTTTGTCTATAGTTCCTGGCTCACAACTCCCCAAAGACACAGAATTTCAAGAGCGTTGAGAGAATGAAAGGTGTCTCATATGTGAATGAGATGACTTTTTGGGAAGTATCTAAGGATGCTTCTTGGTTGCCAGTTGAATCAACCCTTTGATTAGAGGGTTAGAATTTTACATCCCACATCCAGACCCCTGGGGAGGAGACAGGAACTGAAGATTTAGTTTTCTCTGACTTTCCTTCCCTTTTTGCTTGGGTGACTATTGGTAAACTGCCTGGCATCTAACAATGGAGTATAGCAAAAAGGTGGCAGATCAGATTCTGGACACTGTCTCCCTGCATTAAAGCCCAGGTGCCACCACATCCTAACTGTGTGAGCAACGCATATGCCTTGATGGCCTCAGTCACGTCATGTGGCAAACAGGAATGGTAATGGTACCTTCTTCCCAGGGGTGACAGCTTATAATTAACTAACTCAGGCTAAAGGACAACGATAGTCCTTTAGTGAAGAAATGCAAGTTGTCAAATAACACATATAAAACAGAACTCTAAGATTATAGAGAAAAGTGAAAAGGCAAGGCCATGTTATCCATGTAGAAAATGGAACCCATAGCATTATGTTTAGAAACTGTGATAGGATTATCATCTATAGTCAACTTTTGCAGGGAAAATATCCAAGAAATACATTTCATCCCATTAAGGCATTTTGAAAATAAAAGTAAAATGAACATATATCAAGCTTAGCACTAGCTGAGTGCAAAAATTTAGACAATAATTAACCTGAGCAATATATCTTAGATATTTGGGTCGTGTCAGTATGGAATACTATAAAAGGATCATTTATCTTAAACCTTTTCATGTGGATTTAGTGCTTCCTGGTAGAAAGACCCCACCTAAAGTAATGGTGAGATAAATCTGGTGTTGCCATTTTAGTTTTGCCACTTTCTAACTATCTAAATTTGGACAAGTCATTTAAACTCTAAGCCTCTGGTATTCTTGTATAAAATTGAGCTGTTAACAGAATTAAAGGCTATGAAATTTAGCTTTTGCTCAATAAAAATATAAAAAGCCATGTAAACAGCATTACCATCCACAAGGTGTATTTTATATACTATATTATTCAGTTTGCTCAACAAGCAGTGAAAATATTATAGAGAATCTGGTCAATTTGGTCAAATGGCTCTTGTAGCCATTTATCTATCTTGTGTGATATATTGTAATTAATTTCTGGTTTGTGCTTCAGAGACCTCTTAGTGACACTGGCATTGCCATCCACCAGCTGAGTGGACTTGGACATGCCTTGCAAGTTTCTTTTTTTCCTTTTTTTGAAATTTTGTATATTTTTTACATCTTTTTCATTTTTGCACAATGTATGCATTTTCATCTTGGTTATAGTCCCCATACAATTCCCCCCCTCCTTGTTTTGTTTTGATCCTACTCCCTTCTCCCCCGCCAACCCCCCCACCCCCTGCTAATGTGTCTCTGGTTTATAGCTGCTCGTTGATTTTGATTTTTACTTCATTATAATTGGTCTTTTCCCTGGTCCCTTATTTAGGTTTTCTAAATTCCTGCTATGAGTGAGACCATCCGGTATTTTTCTTTTTCTTGCTGGTTTATTTCACTGAGCATGATCCCTTCCAGCTCCATCCATGTTGCTGCAAATTGCATGAGTTTATTTTTTTGATTGTTGAGTAATATTCCATTGTGTATATGTACCACATCTCCTTGATCGAGTCATCTATTTTGGGGCATTTGGGTTGTTTCCATAGCTTAGTTATTGTAACTAGTGCTGCTATAAACATAGAATGCAGGTACCCTTTTGAATTAATGTTTCTGTGTCTTTTGGGTAAATAACATCAGTTGTAATCAGGGAAATGTAAATCAAAACTACAATGAGATGCCATCTTACACTAGTGAGATTGGCACATATTAAAAAAAAAAAAACTAGCAACAACAAATGTTGGCGAGGTTGTAGAGAAAAAGGAACTCTCCTGCACTGCTGGTGGGAGTGCAAACTGGTCCAACCACTATGGAGAGCTGTGTGGAGATTGCTCAACCTGCTAAAGATGGAGCTTCCATCTTTAGCAATGCCAGCAATGCCATGCAAGTCTCTTGATCTGCTTTTTTCATATTAGAAAACATGGGAGGGAACTATAGTCAGTGCAAAGCTAATCTCCCAGGGTTAAAATCAAAATGAGCTAATTAGTATGAAATGCTTTGTAAACATGCAATTCTCCAAATAAGTATTGATGGATGGCACAAGAGAAGAGAATATTTAAAAGTATTATATTTAAGGTTTTTGTCATGGAGTAGGGAGTAAGGCAAACCCCTTGGCAATCATAAAACAAAAAATGCATTTAATTTAAAAATACAAAGTAACTCCAAATTTTTATTAAGAAATTATCTTCTACTCCATGTGGTATATACATTGTGCTCTCATAATAATGTGTTTAGAAAGTTGTAAGAGACAGACTAATCAAAAAATACATTAACCAGATTTGGAAGGGGGTGGATATAAAGTTAGAATTTCTGAGTCATGAAAATATCAGATAGCAATTCCAGAAAGGTGTAACTTTATTTAAAACCAAGCTGCTATGAATTCTATCATGCTTCAAACACCTCTGAATCAACCATCTCTGTTGGCAAATTGTTATGCTGACAAATTCTCACATAAACTGAAAATTTCCATTTTGTAAACAAGTAAGTGGGTTCTTGATGGTCTAGTTTAGATCCTGAGCTGGAACTTTAGAAAACTGAGTCCTCACTTGAGTGACCCTGGACAATCCATCTCTCACAATAGCAAAGCAGGGTCAAGTAGTTTCTAAATCAAATCAGAGTCAATGTTAATTAATATAACATATGTTAATTAATGTAATATTAAGTCTGACACTCTTCTTCAAGTCTGGGAAACATGGAAACCCATCCCTGGCTTCATTGGTTAGATTTCCTGAGATACAGTAGTATGGTGTTTTAATTGCATCTTCTTTATTACACGAGGGGCTCTATTTCTACTTCTGTCCACAAAAGGACAAATACAGAACAAAGAAGTCTGGGGCCAGGACATCTGTTAAACACAAATGCAAGTGTACATAAGGCAAATATAGATTGGGTGATGGATGGTTTTTCCTTCTGGTCATTCAAGGGACTCTAGTTAAGTGCTTTAATTTAACCCCCATCACCTAAAGATGAACTGGCCATGTGATACAGTCACACAGCTGAGTGAAAAATCACCCACCATCACAGGGAAGTCGTAGGTGAGAGGTGCCCTAGATGAGGCTGGATTCAATGAGATACTTATAAAAAGTCTAACAGTGCCTAACATACAGATGGGAAAAATAATGACATTGTTAAGCAAGAGTTTATCTTCCTCTGTTTTATTAAATTTCTTTGTGGAAGGGGAATCATCTATAATAGGGCACTGGGGTGTGGATTCCATGACCACAAGACTCCTTCTAGCCCCATGAGTAGGATGAACATATGAATAGGGAATACCTGTTCTTAGTCCCAAGCACACATCTCATGTACTTTTGTCTTCCTATTTTAGATGCCTTAAACTCCCTAGCCCACTTCAAGGGTGCTCCAGATTTACCCGTGCTCTCATGAGGGAAGAACAGGACCCAAAGAAAGCAAATCTTTGTCATCCAATCAGCATCCCATGTGTTGGCAGAGACACTCCCGTGTGACATTGTGGACACATCTGGAAAGCAGGAGTGATGACTAGCTGTCCACATCTCTGAACACAAACCTTACTACCTACTTTCCTGGTTACTAAAGATGTCATCCAGGGCCAGACCTAGGCAAAATTAGAAAACAGAAAATGATATGTTGCAGTGAGTACTGAGACAGGGCTCCAGGACCAGGATCTCAACTCTACTCTTAGTTATATGACCTTGGAAAAGTCATTTCTCTTTCTGTTGTTGAGTCTCAGCTTTCTCATGCTCAATATCTACTGAAGAGGAAAACATGTTCATAGGGCGTTTTAAACAGATATTAAAAACAAAGGAGTTTCTGGACTTCAAATCGGAGCCTACCTGTGACATCTGTGCCCTCTCCCTCCTTCCTATTTGTATAGCCAACAATCCCTCGGGGTGCGAAATCAATCTAGTTGATTCATAACGAAGTGTTAGCACCATGTGGAATTCTTCATTATGCCATCTGAATACTAATCAACACATCTCTGGGTCTAGGGTATCAGTTGTTGGTAAAATGCAGAATGGAAGAAAGTAGAAAAATGTGTGTGTGTCACACACGGAATTGTGATTGGGTATCCTTTGACAGAAACCTCCCCGATAACTCAAAGACAGCAGGCTGTTCTTCAAGCTGGCTGTGCAGGGAACCTGGTTTAAAGCATGACCACACAGACAATATGAATTCTCTCTCCTCTGCATCCTTGGCCTGCAGTGACACTGGCAGATACTAAACTTCAGCCTGTCTAGAACAGCTAATTAGGTTATAGAGGCTGCCAAATATCCCAAAGTCATCCGAAGAAAGTGAGTTCTGTAGCAAAGGTCAGAAGACAAAAACACCAATCTGATTTTGAAGAAGAGAGAAACCACCATTCCTTAGAAATAGAAAGCAAGGAAGGCAGGTCCTTGACAATCTGGCAACTCCTTATCAGTCTCTTATAAACAATATTGAGATGAGACACAAAGTGGTTCTGGCTTCGTTCTCCAGTAATAAATACTGTGTATTTACCAGAGTGATACCAAAGCAGATATCAGCTATTCATAACCTGTTCCAGAGGCTCAGTCCATATCTCCTGGGACATCAGGAGCTCTTTCAGAGCCCCCCTTCCTGCTGAGAAAGATTCCCACTTGGGAGTTATGAGGCTGGAGAGGGGAAGGAAATAATTTGCTAAATAGAATCAACTGAACAAATACCTAGGGATGTTCAGGGACTTTTCATCAAATTATTACAAAACAGGACCTGCTGCCTGGTCCCTGACTCTCAGTCCTGGAGGAAAAGTCTTTAAGACCAAGAGACCCAATTCTTACAGAGTGTGGGCTTTGGGGAGGGGGTGGTGGATGTGTGCTCTGGGGATCGGGAGGGGTAACAAAACAAACTGCAGTGCACAGGACTTCACTGCCACCAGCAGGGTCCAGAAGAAGTGCAGGCTGGGAGGGGCTCCATACAGTAGAAGTCTCAGGTAAAGTGAGAAAAGTTACAGCTGTGTGGCCTCAACCAGCATCTATCCACCCCTTCCTCAATCCCAAAGATTTGGAAAAGCTGTTGCTCTTCTCTAAAAGACAGGAGCCCTGCCTTCAAGGAGTTTGGAGCAACAGTCCCTGCTCCCTTCCACCACCGCACAGCACAATCACACTATTCCAGAAGGCCTTCCTTCCAGTCCTGGGATGTGCGGTTTTGCATAGGCGCAATAGGTGTGGCCCAAAGATGAGAATTTGGCAGCTGGGTTCTTCTGCATCTCACATCACCCCGGACGTGCACGGGACCCCTTGAATTGGCCGCCTCGCGCCCGGGTGCAAGTAGCACAGCAGCCCCGCGTCCGCTCTGGCCTCCTTGAATCAGCGTCTGGTGGAGCCGACTCCGCTTTTCACCGACTTGGAGAAAACCTCCCAACGCCGGTTCTGATCTCTCTCACTCCGCCCCCATCCGTGCCCACCTGCACTTTGCTGGTCGTTGCGCGGGGCGGCGCTCCAAGAGCCAGCGCGCGCCCGCCGGGCCCGGACGCGCACCTGCCCACGCGTGACTCCGGGTATCCACGGGGCCCCGGGGCCCGGGAGTCGGCCGGGCTGGCGGAGTGACCAGGGAAGGCGCAGGGGAGGGCGCAGGCAGGCGTCCCTGGACCCCGAGAAGCCCCAGGAGGGCTCCCCGCGGAGAGCCGCTCCGGGAAAGGTTTCGCTGCCACGCTGCGCGGAGCACGTGAGCCGGGCGGTTTGGCTATAAAAACCCCCGCTCTGCTGCGCGGGGGAGCGAGCGGAGCCGCAGGACGCAGCCACCCGCGCCACGAGCCACAAGGCGAGCCTCACACTCCCTGCAGGACGCCCGGGGTAGTCCAGAGTTTCGATGCTCGAGACCCTCCCGGTCTGGACTCGGGGCGTGCGTCTAACTTTGAGGCCAGATTCCCGGCACTTCAGCAAAAACGCGCAGACGGCGGCACGCGTGCGCGCCCCGCAATGATCGGGGCGCTTTGACCTTTAAGAGAGTTGGAGGAGGAGTAGCAGGAGCCTCGGGCTAAATTCCTTTGTGACCTCCCTCGAGAAGGCAGCCGCGAGCGCCGGAGCTCGTCCTCAAGAGAAGCCCCCGAAGCCACTGGGGAGTCCGAGGCCCCCCAAGTCCCAGCCCCACCGTCCTTTAAGCCGCGGGTTATTTCTGCGCCCCGCGGGAGGCAGGTTCGGATAAATTCCGGGCGCTTTTCGGAGACAAAGTTTGGTCCGTTCTCGTCGCCGGCGGGTCCCCGCCGCCTGGGCTGTGCCCCCCTCCCGCGGCGGGCGCGGGCGGGGAGCGCGGGCGGGGAGATGGCCTCGGGCTGGGCGAGCGGCGCGGGCGCTTCCCGGCGCAAAGGGGCGCAGCGCGCGTAGCCGCCTCGGCTCTGACCTCCCGCCCCCGCCGACCGCCGCGCGGAGCCCCCAAGCCGAGCCGAGACGGACGCCCAGAGGGACGCGAGCGCCGGGGTCCGCATGGCCGCTCCCCGCCGGCCCGCGGTGTGCGCCACGGAACTCGCCCGCGGCGCCTCGGGCTCGGAGCGGCTCTGAGCGCCCCGCCTGCGGGGATCCAGCAGGCAGCTCCGCGGAGCCGCGGGCAGGAGCACCAGGAGCAGCGGGCGGCGGCGGCTCATCCTCCCAGAGGGCGATGTGGCCGGCCGGCGCGGGCACCAAGCTGCCCTGTCCCCGGGACTCTGCGCTCCGGCGGGCGGCGTTCTCCGGGAACCTCACCGCCCTGCCTTCTCACCTCGTGCCCGCCGGGCGCAGCGTCCGGGTCTTCATCAGCGCCAACCCCGAAGGTAAGTCCCTCGCTCGGGCTTATTTGTCCGTCCTGCTGTCCGCGCGGCGGGAGCCAAAGAGTGCCAGGGACACAGTCGGGTTCTCCGTGCGTCCCCCGCGCGCCCTTCCTCCAGCCAAAACCTCCGCTGCCCTGAGCGCGTGGGAATTTCGTTTGAATCACTCTCTCGCGCATCCCCTCTGCCTGCTGACTTTGCTAGGTTCCCCATTCTCACCTCCTGGGTTTACTCCCCCACCCCAGGTCGAGCTAAGAACGGTCGGTCGGACCATTAGATGTTTCTGGAAGCTCCAGCCTTGCCACCACCACCTCTCCCTTTCCCTTGCTATTAGCGGTTTCTTGCCTGAGGTGATCGCAAACGCAAATAGTAGCAGCTCTGGTTCTCGGCTCAGTGGCAGGTTCCTGAGTGGGAGCCCCCACTTGTTCAGGCTGAGGCGAAGTGAGCGTGGGGTTCCGTGAGATTCGCCTCTGCGGGTGCGATGGCACCCCTTTGTCTGGGGAATCCGGGGAGACCCTGCGAGCCCAGGCCCGCAGCAGGTTGAGGAAATGCACTTGTAGGATCCCGGGACAGGCTGACTGCACTTGGGCGCTGGTCTGGCGGTGGAGCGCTGAGGGCGAGCTCATCTGCACAGCTGGCTCCACGCTTGATCCTGCACTCTAGAACCTGGCCTACTCGTTCGTGCTTCTGCTCCAGGCCCGGCACTTGGTAGGCGCCAAATGAAAACTTGTTGATTTTATGGCATTCACAAATTACAGCAACTGAGTTGAGCGCTGGGTGGTGAATTCCTTGCTCATCACCGCCTTTTCGCTCTCAGTCCTAAATGTTAACTTTTAGTCCTAGTACTGGGAGAGAAAGTAAGATGCGCTGGATAAAACTGCAGGAATTGCCCTTTTCTAGAACATTTAGTGTTGGGCGGTAAGATGAGTTAGAAGTCAGAAATAGGGTGTGAGTTCCAAGGCTTTTTTCTGCACTCTAACAAGCGTTAAATCTGACCAAAAATAAAGTAGAAGGAAAAACGAAAGTTAACACTCAATTGTTGGAGAGAATCACCATTTGAAAAATGAGGGCTCTGATTGCTTGTAAAAAGCATTGGGAGCAGATCAACAAAAATAGCTTTCTAAAAAAACTTTCAAAAAAGAAAAACCCAAGCAGAAATTTCAGGTGGAGTTGGCATTATTGCCAGGGGATTGGGGAAACCAAATGGGTAATTTACAATGATTGGTATTAGAAGGACTATATGCTTTTGAGGGAAGGCATGGCTAGCCTTGTATCAGATTAAACTCAGAATTTAATATCTTAAGGAGGCTTTTGGGAAAATATAAAAATCCCTTTAGCTCAAATATGTCTTCCAAGACTTTTACTTATATCTGGGTAAGGTATTCCATGGAGATATGCAGCCTTTTAAGGACTTAAGGAAATCTGCAACATTAAGTTTTTAGTGTTTTAAAAACAAAAATTGCTTCAACGTTTTATAAGTGTTTGAGGAAATTGTCTTGGCATTGACTCTCAAAATTTTCAGTTTTCCTGAATTAGAAACAATCTGCAAGATGTTTAAATTCTGTTGATGTGGAACCAGCAAGTTTATAGTTTTTCTTCAAACAAGTTGTTTCACTTCTATTAATATCATCAGTAGTTCATTTTCTCTAAATGTATAGGATTCTAGGATAAAAATCAATGAATTTCTATCAAGCCAGCATAATATTGAATTAAAATAATTAATTTCCTTTTTCTTGAGCCTATGCATGTGATTCTTCAAACTCTATTTTCTTGAGAGACGAGCTTTAGCATCTGTTAATCTTGGGAAAGCAAAAAGGAGGGAGGAACTGATCATACCTTCTGATCTCTTTTGGAGCTAGGCAGCTGCACATTGATCTTAACAAACCAAAAAAATGTGAAGCTTATCTGAGAAGTTGCAATAAGAATAGGGCCTCAAATTTCATCCCAACTGGACAGCCGAGAGTATTCTGAATAGAAAAGACAAAAATAAGTATTTTTTGACCATGAAGCTTTGCAGTCTTGGTAAATGCTCTGTCAGAGTCTGCACTTTAACCACAAGCTCTTTATGGATGTAATTCAGCAAACAAATGGTGATATTTTAGTAGCTTCCAATATTGCATTTTTGGCCAATACTCAAGAGCCTCCACTGGCCAATTATGACAAAGAACATTAACTCTTGTACTTTTTTTTTTTTTTTTTTTACGAAAAGAAATACTGGGCCAAAGAGCAAAGAGTACCAAGAGAGAGGTTTTGATTTATACATTTATAAACAAAAACTGCCTTGTGTTGCACTCAGAGCAATATTTTAAGGAAATTAGCAAGGGCCTCCCTTAGATTACAGTTTTAATAGGTATTCCATAAGAGGCTTTACATGGAGTTTCCCCATCAGTAATGAAGATAATACCTGTCTTGGAAATGGAAACCTTATTTTCCCACATGTTAGCTCATTCAGTATTTTAACTTTGATTTCCATCCTCAAACTTTGTGAGAGTGATGGACTTGGGGGGTGCTCTTCCTGTTTTACACATGGGAAAACTGAGGCTGCACCAGGTTAAGTTACTTGCTTGAACTGGGATAGCACAGTGAAACAAGGTGTTTGGAATAGGGCACGCAAAACAGCTTTCTTGAAACTCTTTGGCCCAGACTAGACTCATGCCAGGTCCCTGTGACGTATCTCACACCCTCCTTCACAAGAAAATAAGCTGAGGATAGTGAGTAAGCGCTGTCCTCACTCTTGAAACCTGGCAACCGCAAGAAGCTGAGTAGCAGGAGGGAACATGGTTGTCCTGATCCATTTCACACCCACCAAGAGGTAGCCTCAGGGACATTCAAGGAAATTTCAAAATTTCAAAATCTTCCAGTGGTCTGATGGACATAGTCCTGTCCAAAAATATGTCTAGCCCCACCCGTCCCCACCCTGTGAAAGATAATGAATTAAAAAACAGCATGGGGGCCGGGGCGGTGCAGTCCCATTGGCATCACCCCAGTTTCTCTTACGTGAATAGACCCTGGACTTCGTGGAGTACCACTTCTCACCTATTGTAGCAATCCCATCAGTGGCATCTTTATTAGTCCATGGAAGTTTTCTAGTCATTTAGCCACTGTCTCACTGCCAGAACAGCACTTATACCTCCTTGGAACAACGATTCTGAAACACATATAAAATCCTCCACTGTGATAAGCCTGAATTGTCCTTGAATATGCAGAGAAGAGGAGCGTGTGCAGTTCTCTCCCTGCTACTGAAATTGAGGGGCCTATTAAATAACATTCCTCTTCCTTGATTTAATTCTTAACTAGTTTAAAATAATGTCTCAGCTCAGGCTGCTATGACAGATACCATAGACTGAGTGAGCTCAACAACAGACATTTATTTTCCATTGGTCTGGAGACTGGAAAGTTCAAGATCAAGGTATGGACAGATTGACTTTCTGTTTGCGGGCCCTCTTCCTGGTTCACCATGACCGTCTTCTCACTTTCTTCCCAACACAAAGATAAAGAAGATACCATCTGGCCTGTGATCCTTTTTTTTTTTTAACAAGGACACTAATCCATAATGGCCTCATCTTCCTGACTTCATCTATACCTAATTACCTCTGGAAGACACCCCCCCCAAAATTGGATGTGAGGACAGCCACATATGAATTTGAGGGACACACACATTCAGTCTATAGCTTTTTCCCACAGCCCTCAAAATTCTAGTACTCCTTGCTTGCTTGCTTGCTTCCACCCCAGTAGCTCTAAAAGTCTTGACTAATCACAGCAGCAATGCTGACGGTTAAAGACTAATGTCTTGTGGAAATGTCATCTACATCAGATGGGGTGAGACTTCAGCTGTGATTCCCCCTGAGGCAGAATTCCTCTCCACTGTGAGCATGGGAGACCACATACATATGTCCCACTCCCAAATTGCAATAGTGGGACAGGCATAGGCTAGACTTTCTCATCCCTAAAGGGAGAAATTGGAAGAAAGGGGTGAAGGGCCCCCAAAGAAGTCCAAAACCTAGCAAGGCAAATACCATTCAAGATACAGATTCTAGAATAAACCTCTTTGGTTGATGCCCTACCTTCCGGGCTCACTGGGACAGCAGCCCCACCTGTTAGCTCTGCAGAATACGGTGGTGTTCACCAACCAAGGCTCTGGTGTTCACCAACCAAGGCTCTGGGAGCCCTGCCCCCAAGAATGTAGGCAGCGACCGTCTCCCTGCCTTTGAAATCAGGCAGGCAGCCCTGACCATCTCCAGCTCTCCTGTGGGGGCTTTCTCCTTTGGTCATGAAGAACAGCACATGTTCCCAGCCAGGAGCTCTGTGGTCCAGTCCTGCAATGTCTAAGGCGACTGCCAGCTCCCTCCATTTCTTCCTGTCTCCTTCGGTTCAGACTGGTAGGGTGTCTGCTAGGGTGGTCTGTGACTGACACCATACTAGTTTCCTTATCAGATGGTTACTGAGCCATACTCTCAATGTTTTCTTCAAAACAAACTTTCTTTTCTTTTTTCACAATATGAATAGATAAAAGAATTTTCGAGAGTCTTCAAGTTCTGGCTCCTTTCGGCTTAACTACTTCCTCAATCCATCTCTCTCTTTTTGCATTTTACTATAATTCCAACTACTATAAACAGTTGAGAGGCACACTTTCTTAGAAATTATCTGAGTTTAATACCCAGTCTCATTGCTTCTAAGTTTTACATTCCACAACACATTTCAATACAGTTCAGCCAAGTTCTTTGCTGCTACTGATTATAAATAGCATTCACCTTTCCTCCATTGTCTTCTAGCCTGTTCCTCTTTTCTGTCTGGAACGTCACCAAAATTGCCTTAATTCTCTGGGAAGATGGACGCTTTCTCTATAGGTTCTCTCTTCTTTCTGAGATCTCACCGGCATTACCTTTCACAGTCCAGACCCTCTGGCAATATGACTTTCTCTAGGAGGCATCTCAAAATTCCTCCAGCTTCACCCCATTATCCAGTTTCAAAGCTGTTTCTGCATTTTTAGATAATTGTTACAGTAG